CCCCACCCTTATTAAACTCTTGAAAGACATGCTCTATGCTTAGACCTATTGTGTAAAACGTATATTACAGCAATTTTAGAAAAATTAATCTCTTGGTGTCTATATTTTAGACTTGATTATGACTTAAACTCTAAACTGTTACTCGCTGCAACTCAATACATGAATTTTGATTTGATGCAATTTGGTAATCTCTATAATTTTACTATTTAAAAAGTTAATCCCTATAAGTCAAAAAATAAAATTATATTTCATGAATTTAAGGATTAAAATTTTAAATAGTTAGCAATGACTTAAAGTTTAGTGATCAGGTTATGATTGAATCAAAATTATAAAAATTGAGTTGCATCAAGTCAAAATATAGATGTTAAGTTACGACGGAGTCAAAACTATACAGGAGCTAAGAGATTATGTAAAACTTTTATAACTAAACTTACAATGGGATTGAGACTTTTCTTAATCAAATTGAAAATTGACAAGATATATAAATAATTTCAAAAGATCAAAGTAAATAGCATGTAAAATTTTGCTTGTCGTAACGAAAGAGAAAGTAACATGAAAGAGTATGATTACCTATGATTTATGAACTAGTAGTATCTCAAAAGAAAATTATTTATCATCTAATATTACTACACAATTAAATTTAAATTGCGCTGGATTCTAAACAGGAGGAAGCTTGTTCTAATTTTACTCTTATTACTTGTAATTCAAAACTTGTACGAAAATTTCGCCACTCAATATTTAAGATAATGAAGAAATTAATATTTCAAATTCTTACCTCCCTTTTCACTAAGGGGGGGGGGGGGGAAAACAAAAGACAAGAAAAGTCCTACAAATAAGGCACCGTATTGGTTCACTTGAGATACAAATCCGAACTGTATCTTGTGGATCTCCCATGTTTGTCTCTCACTCTAAAAATAGCTAGCCGTCAATTGACTTCTTTTGGTTTCCTTCTCAAAACTCTCTCCCTCTCCCCCCACCCTCATAATATATCCCCACAACAAACAGGGACGAGACACAGAAATTACTCAAATCAGAGAAAGATCAAGTTTCATTATTTTCAACGCCTCACAACCAAGCATCTCCGTTTCGTCTAGTTCCTCCTCGTCGGAAATTGATGTGGGTTTCTCTCCGGCCATGTGTTTCGCCGGCGGCAAGACTCTCCACTTCTCTCCGGTACTGCTTCTGTTCCTCTCAGTTTTGCACATATGGGTCTGCTGTCACCCACCGTGCCTGCTGGTTGAGGCCATTCGGATACTCCCAGAAAACGTTGGGGCCAAAGTGAGGCTCAGCCACACCAACGACGACGACGACCACAAGAATCGCTTCTTCCAAAAGTACTCCTTCCATGGAAGCACTTCTGTTCCCACCAACAATACGACCCAAAAGGGCTTCGAAGAAACGAAAAGAAGAGTACCAAGTTGCCCAGATCCACTTCACAATTAACAAGTACTAGAATTCTCAGTCCTTCGTTTCTGTTTTTCTGGTTCCTCTTAGATTTTTCTTTCTCTGTGTGTAGTTTCTCTGTTGAAGAGCTCGATCATCCAAAATACCCACTTTTTTCTCATCACTTTCTTCCCAGTAAATAATATATATCCGCCGAACGAAGATTAGGAGGGAAAAAAGAGGGTATTTTGGTACATGTCATGAAGAACATACATTCTTTTCTATCAATGGAGGTTTTCGAGATGTATGGCGTTTGATCATCACCGTCATCATTATGTTTGTGTATAGAAGGCAAGAAGCTGAGAGAAGTTAAATTCAGAAGCAACAGTAATATTTTTTTAATATTTTTATTTTTATTTTTATTATTGCTGCATAAAATCTCTGTAGGTTCTGCAACATGAATCACTTTCTGTCATATCTTTTTCTATCCTGCAAAAAAACTGCAGATTTTATTATGAGTAATGAAAAAGCAGAGATTTTTGCCTTTTAGTTGTACCTAAAGCAATGTCAAAACAATTATTATTCATTGACCCCGTTTAAAAATAATAATAATAATTCTGATTTTTTTTTAAATTTTGTCTGGTAATGCTATAATATTTTGCTTCGCTCAGCCTCCATGAAAAAGGTTTTTGCAGAGATTATCAAAAGGGGTAAAACGCAAGTGTTGGGTCCTTAATGAAGGGCCATTAATGGCTACTGCCGAATCTGAAGCATTCTGTGAAAAGATCTTTAAATTGTAAATTTGGGAGGTTTTTTTTCTTTCCGTATTTGATTTGATTGATTCTCAGACTCATTTTCTGAACGTACCACATTATCCTTTGCAAATTCTGGGATTGGTTTGTTCATATCTCTCTTCACCTGTTTCTAAAATATTTTGGCAAAAGATCTGATTTGGATTCTGATCGATCTTCACTGCCTTTTAACTTATCATATATTTAAAGGGTAATTTTAATACTGTCAGGCTTCATTATTTATCTCTGTAGTCCTATTTGAAAATTACTCTCAAAGACTTAGAGAGTCAAACAACTTAATGTTTTAAATACCATAAGAGGTATCTTTTTTTTAAAAAAAAAACAAAGTATAACACCTATTTTTTTTTTTTCAAAGACGAAGTAGGACTAGCTTTGATTGCTCGACGGTGCAAAAAACTAGCTGTTAAATAATAATTTTATTAGGACTTTGGATTCTTTCTTGTTTGGTACGAGCAATCACTATCATGTGAGGGGGGAAAAAAAAGATAAAAGAATTAATAAGAAGAAAAAAAAAACCTTGCATGCAATGCAATCTAGTTTTTTTATATAATTTTTTTTCTTTTTTGTTTTTTTTTACCAGCAGAATGATGCATTTAATAGGAAAGATATCCAGTCACATGGGCAAACACATGCTTAGCAGAAAAATCATCTTGAACATTGTAAGAAATTATACTCTTAAGTAATTAAGTGTGAAGTAAAAAAAATTGGATTTTTTACCTCTGGGGGAAAATATAAAACAACGGAGATTGGGGTAACTTAAAAAGGAGTTACTTTGATCTTAATTATAGTTTAATTCTTCTGGAGAGGAAACTTTTAACTGTAGAGAACATGGGAAAGTATAACTGAACTGAATGTTAGGTGATTTTTGATTGTGTGGCTCTGTAAACTAATGAGTTCTTGGGAAAGTTTTCTTTCACCTTTTTTAATTTGAAAAAAAAATCATCTTTTTGTCTCTTGCTATCAAAAGTGCAAACAGATATCCACATGCAATATGGGGGAATATGAATATTTTATGATCATATGTACACTTTTATATTTCTCCTCTCTAGTACTATTGATCATTTTAAGGATAATAATGCTGATTTTTAAGAAGAAAATAAGCTGGCCTTATCTAATCTATACAATTTAATTTCATTTTACATCCCATCAGGACAGATTTTTCAAATGAGGCAAGAAGCTATCTATATTCATTTTTAATAAAGTGAGTTGCATTGTTTGTAAATAATACAAACCTTTTTTTTTATATAGATTTTATATTCTTTATATACATTGGTCATTGTGGATATAATATGCCTTTAATAAAGTGGATATATTGAATTGTATTTTCTACGTTTATGTATTCGGAGGAAAATAGTGACATTGATATTTAGGAAGAATGATACTTGAGTCCCTAATAAAAAAATTATTAACATTTTCATTCATGCTTAAAAAATCAAATAATATACTCCATCCGTTCTTTATTATAAGAGACATTTGATGTTTATAGCATATTCCCATATATAAAAGACACTTAAAAGTTGTTTCTATTTTTTTGTATTGATTTTCTATTTTATTCCTATTTATTTTGTCTCTAACTCGTACTCTCTTTCCCTCCCACTTCTCTTTCTTTTAATAACTTAATTATTCTCTCTCATACTCTCTCTCCTTATTAATGGGGGTATTGTTGGAAAAAAACATTATACTTTTTACATATTAATTATCCTCAACTAATTTTAACTATTTTTTTTATCAACATAATTTGGTTATTTGTCTCTTATAATAAGAAACGGAAGGAATACCACAGTTGTCAATATTAGAAAGGTTATTGTTGAGAAAACCAAAGTTTTAATCATTTTGGTTTACACGAGAAAACCCAATGTCACGTTCACATTTGGGAATGTATAACTGAGGAATATGCTATTTGACAATTGTAAGTTTTATTTGGAGTAATTCAAATTCATTATGTTAGAATGCCAAATCATTAATAGAAGAGGGCCATGTTGTGATTATTGAATGCAATGGAGAGAATTTTGAACTTAAATTAGAGGCTTTTGGGATGTTTAAAATTTAAAGTATGCGTTGGAGGTAGTCAGTCACAACTCAGAAGAGAACAAATGGTCGTATTCTGGAAATGCGAGTGAAAAAAAACAGCAGAGAAATCGATGTGGGATAGCTCCACGTATTATGCGGCGATGAAGATGTTTCACCAAATCCTTCCATTGGTTCCTTCTCTGTTCCACTTGTCCTCTTCTCTTTTGGATTCAGAATCTTCTTCACTCCCATTCGACCCTCTCTCTCTCTCTTCATCCTTCAAAATTTAGCTCTTCGATGCATTTTCATGTTTGTCCATTCGTCTCCTTCTGGGTTTTCTTCCTCTTTCATTTTTCGTTTTCTTTTTTCAGTCCCTTCTCTGTTTCAGTGATATGAATTCTATATTAACTATTTTAGTATTTTTCTGTTTCATATTTCTGTATATGAAAGCTTGGGATTACATTTTCTCAACTCCCCCCGGCCCCCCCCCCCCGGAGTTTTGGGTCCCCCAATGCTCATATTTTTCAATCCCTCTTGTATGTTTCCACAAGTCACTAATGATTGCAAAAGAATGAAAGATTCATATGAAGAGTCCTGAGTTACACAAGAACGTCATCAACCCCATTGAACAAAGCAAGTAATCTTCTTCTGTTTGATTATGCTACTCATAAGAGAAGAAGCTTAAGATAGTCTGGCTTAGTTCTATTTGTTGTTTCTGGATGGACTAACAAAATTCTCGTCATGCAATCAAACCAAAAAAAAAAAAAAAATCGTATATCACAACTCAAACGCAGCTACACTTGGATTAATCTCATTCATGTATTCCTGATTCTGAATTGTCCAGCTTCCTTTCTTCAAGAAATTTATGCAAGTGTTAAGGAAAAAGGAAACAAAATTCCTTTCATTGGATGAAAATTGCTTTGATGAACAATATAGAAAGCCTTATAAAACATCTCGCTGTTCATAGAGACAAATAAATAAACCAGTATGCTCTACTTTTTTCTCAAAGCTTTTGAGATGACTTCTATGGTGGAAGGTGTTGTCCGGCAACAGCCTCCTACGATTTTGGCTCCCAAATCTCTCCACCTTCTTGCATGCAATTCGAAATTATCATCATTAAAGCACTTTGATGGCTGTCAATGGAAAACACAGTGTATTAATACACACTACTCATCAATTGAATTATGCATACCAAGACAATACTAAATGGATATGTCAACAATGTGTCCCACTAACTATACTTCAATCTCCCACTGACCTTTTTTTTTTTTTAGGCCATCGACTTGAAAAATCTAAATTGGGTTTACTTAAAATTCATTCCTTCGTTAATTAGTAATTACAGTTTGTGGAAGAGAGAAAGAGGGAAATTGACTTACCAGCCATTTCTTGGCTCTACCATCCCATACTTCCCCACTGTTAGGATACACAATGATCGCCTTCTTTGTCAACTGCAGAAAGATATTTTAGCCCATTTCAGTCAGTAATGGCAGACAATAAAGCCTTCGTGAAGTAGAGATCTTTATACAAATATATAGAGGAAATAACTTGTAAAGAAATATTGATGATCTTGGTGAAATGTCTGTCAGACATGTTTATATATTGGTTTAAGATTGACTCAGTCAACCAATTCTTCATATTCTTAAAATACTATTGACAATGTCAAAGGTGCGCCTCGTTGAAATTTGGCAGACATGTTTATATATTTGTTAAGATCGAATCAGTCAACCAATTCGTCTGAAGAACTCTGGTCTCCAATACAAACTATAAAAAGTCTCAGTACCTGCTTAAATTTGCTGATGATGTTTTCCATAAAATGGGGAGGTGCACAATTTATACCAACCGCATTTACTTTGTCACTTTTATTTATTGCATCAAGGCACTCCTTGAAGCTCTCTCCTGAGGGGGCATTCTCACCATCAACAGAGGTGAAACAGATCCAAGATGGAATTTGGACGTTTTCTTCATCAAGCAGTTCAACACAAGCCTGCAAATATATTTTTCTTAAAGATCAATCTGTTTCATCAATAAAGGAGACCCACGAACCTCATAAGCCGCACAACTTTAAGGTAAAAAAATATTGCACTCAGAAGTAAAAGAATAATTAAACATTAACAATCATATATGGCTTTGGTGCTCGAGCTCTTTGGCCTTAATCAAAATTTATGACCAGGAGCTGATTCCAGAGTCACCTACATTAGCATACTGAAATATACTCCAGTCATGATAGATACCCTACCAGATCAGTAAAGAATCAACACTGATTTCTTCTCTTTATATTCTTGGCTACTTGCAAGAATCTGATAATGCTCTTTGTAGAACTTCTAGAGGCAAAACCATCCTCTAGGAAGATTATACGCAGGAAACTAAACATTTAATACATTGACCAATATTCAAGAATGAACTTTAATTTACTATTAAACATTCTGTCATGCAACCAGTTTAGAAATAGAGTTTTTGCTTTGAATTGCCCCGATGCCTACGGCAAATCAAGAAATTTCAAAACATCTAGAACATTTGATCTGCGTGATTAACTGGGGAAAAAATATAGAGAGGAAAGACATTGTCACCTGAAATCGGCATTGTGCAGGGAAGTAAGGCAAATCATAGATAATACTCATCATTATACAAACTGACAAAATAAAAGATCACAAATCTTAATGCCGTGTTTTGTTCATCATGTCATCCTAGATTTGAGGATTTCTTTTTCCTTCTCTTGGTCATTGCAAGTTCAAGGATGCTCAACATAAGAGTGACAATCTTGCTGGTTTTACATAATAGGATTTTTGCTCTGTGAATTTGAAATGAATGCTGCAGTGCAGCTTAGATAAAATCAGCATTTCATTAGTCTTGTGAACCACCATTGAATTCTACACTTCATTATTGAATACTTTCAGTTTGGCGAGAATTTCTATATGCCTGTCATTCATATTTACCTTACTGCAATGTACATTACCCAAAGAAAGCTATTGAGTGGAGGAAGAACATACGTTAGCTTCAAGTTTGTTTGGAATAGTTTCAAAGGCAAGTAAATCTGGACCAGCCTCGACAAGAACTTGCAATCTGCGGCGGTGAAACTCCTTTAACTTCTCCAACGTAACATGTGGTCCATAGCAACCGCTGTATGAAAAGAACGGCATCTCTAAATTCTGCCATTATAATAAAACTACCCAAACTAATTGCTGAAAAGCATTGATCAGAAGCAAACTGTCGAGTTTATAAAAGAGCACAAAAGCACCTGTATTCAGAGCCATCAGCAAGATAAGCTCCATAGCTTCCAATGGAGGCTGCAACCAAAGCCCTTCTATAGTTATGTCCAGAACTTTTCTTAATGGAATTCCAGAAACTGTCACGAGCCTCAATGGCCAATTTGACACTTCTCTCCAGCAGTAGTTCCCCTTCTTGGATGGACAGTCCCTTGGACACAAACCCGGGAAGGGTGGCCTAGAATTACAGAGAAATTTTTAAGAAAACTATGTGCATTTACTTCATTCAGGTCATAAAGATTTCACACATCAGTTTTAGGCCTCTTCGAGCAACGTAAGTAGATAATGCAAGCACATTCTTGCAGCATGATTCAGTATATGGCTAAAGATTACTCGATCCTCGATTCTAATAACATAACATACATGTAAACGAGGATATATCTCCTATATTCATGCCATATAAGCCTATACCATTCACATTGAATAGAAAATTAGAGGCAGTCAATTCTCGTATTAGTTAAGAAATACCGCTCTAACAAGAAAATCATGGAGACATTGCAGAGTCATCAAAAGAGCAGATACATAAATGAATATATTACTTCACAAACACGTCTTTACCATGCAAATTTTGTTGGCCATCAAACACTCCAGAAAACAGATTTTTTCCTTACAGTTTCGTATGATCTTGATTTCTTCTTACAATAAAGGAAAACAGAACAAATAAATCAAGGCCAACACTGTCAATGCAGAATCAAAAACCTACCTGGTAAGAAGAAGTCACCAATATATCCGCACCCGCCTCCAAGTATTCCAAATGAACCTAGATAAACAAGCCCATTTCCAATCAGAGATTGAGAACAAAGCAGAAATGTAAAATAAAAACGATGAAGCAGAAATAGGGGCATACAGGGGAAGAGAGAGAGAGAGAGAGAGAGAGAGAGAGAGAGGACCTTCTTGATTAGATGAGGATTTTTGATCAAACAGAGAGCGCTCCAGAGAGGATCGTTAATGGCAGCCCCATGTCGTTCGAGCTGGGTGGCGAAGCCTCCATCAGTGACAGCACACCCACCCGCCTTCTCAATGAGATCTTCAAGCAATGAATTTTCGTTCTTAATGTTACCCATTTCTCTCGTTCTCTTATCGGACCCAAACTGTGTGTGAGAACCTGAGATTCGAATTCACGGGTTATTTGTGGCAACGTGAGAGAACAGAAAGGAAGGCTCTTTATTCTCGCCTACGACTGCGGGAGTTGTTGGGCCTGTGGTTCGGTGAAACAGCGACATTTGGAAACGTGAATGTGCACGAAATAGCACTCAGGTCCTGCTAAGTCAGACCTGAATCTATGACCTTGACTTTATTACTATTGTTACTACTTAGATTAATATATTAATCGATACTAGTTTTGACTTGTGACAACAAAATTTGGAGTGCTCATTTTTTTATCAACAGCGTTCGAAATGTTGTATATTAGACTATGATTAATTAAAATCAAATTGACTTAGTTCACAGGAATGTAAAGCTTTCCCACAGCAAATTTCCAACTTGAAACATAAAGGAAACAAATGTCAAATAATTGAGACGACTAGTGCATATTGTTTAGGTCATTTTTCACATAGGCTACTATTTTCTTTTTGGGTCAAAACTCATACATTTGAACATAGAAATTGTATTCATGTTGACTCCTACTAACATGTTTTCTTTTAATATTAGAGTTGAACTTTGATTTTTATATTGTATTTTAATTAAGTAAAAAAACTCGACTGAGACGTGATCATTTTGAAACTTTCTTAAAGGTACACGGTTGCATGATGAAATTACAAAGTCTACATGGTCTGACTGAAATTTCCTTGGAGAAAGTCTTAAAAGTTTAGCTTCAGTTAGTTGACAGCAAAGCATTAGTTAGTTAATCTCAATCTCTCATTGAACTGATCTTGGGCCTGATTAAATCTAAGTGATGATGCATGATATATGCTGGATCAAACACTTAAACCCGTTGGCAGAGGCCTGAACTTGCAGCCATACAGTAGGTTCTTAATTCCTATTCCACGAATGACTAATTACAATTAATTAATCAAGCTTGTGATTTAGGAGAGTAGTTATAAAAGTGGTTAAGAAACATGTTTCATGGACGATTTCTTGTTTATCTTTGGCGAAAAGCAGGTTTCAATCTCAATATCTTGCCGTTTCTCTTGTTATTTGACAGTACAATTGGATCTGTGTTGGATCAGATATATATGCAGAATCGCATACGAGAGCAGAAACGCCAAGGATCCAAACTTTGAGGTTGCAGAGGAATCATTCCATCAGAAATTCATCGTAAAATATAAACAATGGAATAAATTATGCAGAAATTAATAAAACCTTGAAGCTTCTGCAGTGGATTGGCTTTCGAAGCTGGACTTTTAATGCAAGTCTTGATTGAAGCTGCTACAATAACCCCATTAAAAGCCTGCAGGTGATGTTCCTTGAAGCTTATGCAATCGCTGTCGTCTTCTTTATGCAACTGAAGAGTTAGTCACTTCATACGGAAAAGATTTTATTCAAACGTATCAAGAGTAATGGCGGAAATTAAAACACAGATAATTCAGCTAGCCTTGAAATTCATCGTTTTACTTTTCAAGTAAAAGCACGCGTTTCCAGTAACTTTAATTTCAACTATGAAACATAAGCTGGTGAGAGGTGAAAAGAAATGTATGATAATGCAATAGTATGGACCTAAAGAACAGACAATGGCCACTGAATTAAAGTTAGATTTGGATTTGTTAGTCACTTAAGAGATCTGAGAACTAGGAACAGCATGAAAATATAGAAACTTGCAAGGACTCCTATATATATATAAATATAAATATAAACAACATATGTATTTATTTTCTGTGGGCTAACAAAGGGACGATCCGGCATCCTTGATATGACTACAGCCATTGGGGTTCTTTAAAATTTTAGGATTTGTTTGGTACGAGGGAAATGGAAGGAAGGGAAAGGAAGGGGGATTTTAGTTAATTTGACTTTAAAAAAATTACAAAAAGTATAAAAGCTTTTGATTATTTGTTGTTCTTACTCTTTTATCTTACATCTTTTCTGTATTAAATTTTAAAATTCCTCTTTCAATCCCCCCCGGGTTCCACTCGTACGGTAGGAAACCTTCGCTCAAAACAATACATTTTGATGAAAAGGAATATAGATAATAGATATGACAAGAAAAGTATCAATATTTCAATATGACATATATAATTATTATAAGAAGTGGCCCAATATACATAAGTCAGCTGTGAAAACTTGGTGCAATGGACGGGAGACCCACACACACAAGTCAAAAAGTGAGACAGCAAAGTGCTACAAATGCAACCAAATCTAGGGTTACATCTGCGAAGTAAAACCGTAAGAGAAGTAAAGGGGTGTTTGGATAGAAACCAAATCATGGTTTCAGAAGTGCTTTTACGGATTACGAAGTAAATATGTGGAGGAGATTACCTCGTTTTGCGGAAAAGTGCTTCTGAAACCATGGTTTTGGGTTTCCCAAACACTCCCTAAGAGGTATTAAATACCAACCAAAAAAAGAAAGCTAGCAAGAAACAGGAAAAAACCAACTGGCATTGTGTCCCCATGAGATGGATATATATATATGTATGTATGTATATGTATATAAATACAGCCATATGGCATGGAAATACGTACATGTTATGAATTAATTAACACAAGCTCTGTCACAGAGATATCACATTTATAAATATTGTCAATGTCTTTTGTCCTGCAAGCACTTTAATTTATTGGGCCAGCATGCAACATCTGATTAGCAACTGTCAATTTCTTAGCCATGTTCCTTGCTTCTATCATTCTTCTTTCTTCTCTATGTATCTACAAATAAGTTACTCATAGTTTTATGATTAAATATCATAAGTTTGAAAATTTTATTCCGTAAAAGAACTTGGTTCTATCACTTTTTTTCCCCCAAAATTATCACCATTTTTTTTTTGAATAGTAGAACCACCGGTATTGACTCTTGACAATAACGCGTTGTAATTTGAATGTAATTTTTCTGACATTGTTGGCCAATACTAACGTAGTATTGACAGAAGTAAATCAATATATATAAAATAAGAAGTAAGGAAAATTGAGAAAGAATGCCTCTTTCAATTTTTTTTTATATAACTCAGAGTATCCTTAAGTCACTTTGAGCTTAAAACTAATATCTGTTGAGCTGAGAGCGTTAAGATTAAAGTCCTCCTAATAAGTGTGCTTCATGAGATTTGAAGTTGTGTTCTCCTTCTTAGAGGGATGAGACTATTTACCACTCAACCAACAGCTTGTTGGTTGTCTTATTCAAAATTTTATTGGTAAGAATGATCTAAATTAGAATAATGGTATTTTGTGTATACAAATTTGTAGAGTATCATTACTTTTTGTATATAAAGATTTATCTAATTCTTCTCACCAATAAAACTTTTAATGGGGGGCTTTTTCCCAATTTTCTGTAACAATATTACAACAAAATATTAATTAAATTTAAGAAATTTGTTTGAGTTTCATTTATTTGATCATAAGAATTTGACAAGCCTTTTTTCCTTTTACAAAAATAATTATTAAGTTAGTTTCAGGCCTCAAAATCTCTCAATTTTAAATTTGATCTTTTCTGACTATATGGGGTGTCCTTTGACACTTATGTTTAATACTAAATTAATAGATTATAAATTTTGAATGCTTTGACTTGTGATTGGAACATTCACCTTCGTTAGATTTTTCTTTTGTTCTTTGGTCTTCAATTGCTTTGCCCAGGAGTGCAAAAGCTAAGTGTGGGGGAATTGATAAAGCCCAATTTTTATATATTTTATCCCACATTAATTCAGAATTTAAATGATAATTTTGAGCTTAATTAGATTTTTTATGCATAATTGGATTAATTGGTTGATTTTTGGATTTTGCATAAAAATTGAGATTTTGGATTAAAAATATAATTATTTTGGGATTTCCTATTTTTGACTTGGAATTAATTTTTCTTATTTCTTTGGAAACAAGTCTCATATTTTTAGAAAGATTATTTTTAGAAAGTTTTGTAATTTCTTGCCTAATTTTTGTGCATATCTAATATTTAATTTTGATAGAGATTATATTATATTTGGATATAATCTACATTAATGGATGCACTTAAATTCTTGTAGGTCAAAAAAGAGCATATAGGAGATCCAATGGTGCAAGATTGTTTCTTGGGATTTAAGCACAATCCAATAGCTAATATCAAGTGGGCCAATTAATTACTAATGGGCTTGAGCTTTAGATTCATAAAAATTTCCTTTTCTCCCATCAAAATATTTTCCTTATTTGAGAGGACAATTCAACGCCATATATCCGATATATATCCCCTCATATATTGGATTCATTCGACGGTCACAAGAGGAAAACACGTCTTTGACTTCCGAGCTACTATTATCCCATATATTCATCATCAATCCATCGGCTCTCACCATCATCAATTCACACCCTTTTCTTTCTTACTCCACGTACAACTCCTCACCATCACCTTCAATCAATTCATGGCTATGGCATCTAACAACCTTAGAAGAGGAGACAATTTGATGGAAGCTTAAGCTTATTTGGGAGGCAATTTGGGAGGAGCATGGAAAAGACTAGAGTCTTGGGCTAGCACTTAAAGACCACAAGGGAGTGATGTTCCATTTATCTTTTTAATTCAAGGACTTGAAATTATTTAGTTTTAAATAATTTTGAGTTGCATTTTTGTGAGACAATTTAGTTCTAGATTGTCATTTTTTTATTCTTGGATTGGATTGATATTTGGATTTTATTTGTGTTGAGACACTTGTTGAAATTTATGTTTAGAACCTTTGCATTGTTAATTGAATTTATAATTGAGTTTTCATTATGAGTTTAATTATCAATGTGGTTTGAATTGCAAAATTTGGGTTCTTTTGCCTCTTAATTGTTTAATTAAATTGGTTAATTGTCTAATTGTTTAATTGGATAATTTCAAACATAATTTCCAGAATTAATTGGGTTATTTTTCATTGGTTTTAATAAGCTTAATTAACCAACCTTATACTGTTATGAGTTCTCTAATAGTTTAAGGGCTTTTGAAATTGAGGGTTCCCTTTGTTTCAAGTAGGTAATTAAGTTTATTAATTCCACTCTCTTATCACTTCCCTTTGGTCTA